ATGGGACCACTCTTTCAGATCGATCACATGACTGCGGGGGCCTAATTTGCCGAGGGGGGACTGTCTGGGCTGTTAGGCAGTCCCCCTGGACCGGAAGCAACGCCGATCGCCGTAAGTAAAATTTTCCATTATGACAGTTCAGGACTGTCAGCGGTCCTCCAGGGATGTTTCTGATGACGGTCCTGAACTGTCATCGGTCGTGAAGGAGTTAAAGTAAATTTCACGTTTTTGGTTAAAATAGGCAAATTGGTCCAGTTTGCCACATAGCTCACAATCTGTGAACTCTTTTCCTTAATAGTACATAGCTTACAGGTGAGACATCTGCCCTGCTCCCCCCACCCCCTGCAGCCCTCTTGGTCAAGGGCACCCTCAAAAGCAATGCACCCTTGCAACAACACATCACAAAACTCCCCTACTCTAACACCTCTATTAAACATCCCATAAGTCTGAAGCACCACTATAGCATGCATTGCTAGACATCACCACAGTGACCTTAACCTCTGAAAGATTGCCCACCACAGTGAGCCACTGTATAATTTCAAACCCACGATTCTAACACTGTGTTCACACTCTTACAATGTTCTTACTCACCTCTGCCAATATATCAGTACACACAAGCCTAATGTCTCCAAAACGGCAAGTCTTGTGGACTGTTCCTGATATGCAGTGGTTAGTATCTACTAAAAGTGGTGAAAGGAAAGACAAACGGTGAGCCATCGTCAGGGTCGTGTGAATGTTACTTTGACATGTAAAACCTACCTAGAGCTTGTTGCAGACCACGTATACCCCTTCATGGCAATGGTTTTCTCTGATGGCAGTGGCCTCTTTCAACAGGATAATACATCCTGCCACACTTCAAAAATTGTTCAGGAATGGTTTGAGGGACATGATAAAGAGTTCAAGCTGTTGCCTTGACCTCCAAATTCTCCATTCTCAATGCGACCGAGCATCTGTGGGATGTGCTGGAACAACAAATCCCATCCATGGAGGCCCCACCTCGCAGCTTGCAAGACTCTGCTGTTAATGTCTTGGTGGCAGATACCACAGGACATGTTCAGAGGTCTGGTGGAGTCCATGCCTTAACACATCAGAGCTGTTTTGGCAGCACAAGGGCAGGTGGTTTTTATATTATGACTGATCAGTATATGGGTTCCCGTTAAATGTGTTCCTGTATTTACATAAGTAATGTATATGGAAATGTATATTTTTGGATTGCTCAAGCATACATGACATTATTGTGTTTTGAATAATTGTTTGCTGCCTTATAAGTATTCATAAATTCTCACTAAAAAGAAAGAAAAAAATTTGCAACAAGGGTGAGACATTTAACATGACAACACTGGTTGGGTGAATTCAATGTGCAGAAATTCCAAAAACATTCTATACACCAGCAATAAATTCTAAAGGTACAATTGAAATGCACAGAATGGTGACATTGATAGTTAAGATCTACTCCAGTAATTTTACACGTAGCATGCTGATACATGACAGGCACATGTATAAAGATGTACACCATCTGTTCACAACATGCCTCATCCTTTTGTAAGCATACCTTCTGACAAAGTAGGGAGAAAATCCATTGTGCCTTTTAAACATGTTTTAATCAAGCAGGCAATGAGCTGAAGACCTTTATCAATTAATTTAGCCACTGGCTATTGATGGAGTTAATAACAGAGACCATTGGGTTTTATTGGGAACTGAAGACATTCCTTTTACTTTTGGGCAATAAATATAAGACTAGAATGACCATGCTCTGCAATGAGCTCATTTTTCACATTTTACTGACAGTGCCCTCAAGGTAAACATTCATAATGCAATCATTAATTTCCTGTTTACAACCTCATCCCATGACTCCTGTCAGAGTTTGATAATGTATCTCATTAGTCAGCTGAGATAATACTTTTTCAATATGCATAGATCTTCTAATGGTACCTCCCATTTTCAAGTTGCGAATTACAAGCTGCTTTGTCTCTCGGAATGTAGCAAATTGCTCTTTAGATAGATGATCTTTATGGGGCTCACTGAAGGTAAAATTAAGACTTCTGCACTGAGACCTTAACATAATAATCAGAATTAGTTTGCTGACCAATTTATTGAGATCGTTGATAAAGACATCAAATTGAAAAAGGAACATTTACTTTATGAAAAAAATGGTGGTAGTAAATCTAATCACACACTGATCACTATAATGAGGAGTTCTTATATAACAGTAAGATCATTAACACTTTAACGACTTTTCTTCTACTAGCTTGGAGGTCAGCTTTCAAGTGATAATGTTGTGGCCTGATATCTTTGCCCGGACATAACAGAGCTCTGTCAAGCTAATAGCAGGTCCCGTGGGGTTTCAGTTGGCTAATAATGCAGTTCCACTCATTGTAGGATACAAATGGAAATGCAGCTGGATGATAAACTGCTTTCCTATAAACCATTGGTGGACAGGCTGTTATAGGATAGGATCAGTCACTATAGGTCAGTATAGGATAGTTATGCCTCTTTCTGGTCAGAAATGGTTTGTCTAAAGCTGCAGTCAGCTTAGATAAGATCTTCAGCATCATGATCTTGGAAGATATATTTTTTTTAAATATATTTTTGCACTGTTTAATTCATAATTTATATAATGAATTAAAAGGGGTAATGTGTAATTTTTTATTTTTTTGTTGTTGTTTTTTTCTGTATTGATGCCAATGTCATTATATATGTTTTTATTTGTTCTGTGAAATATGATGATATTGAAAATGTCCCTATTCATAAATGAGATATATTGTAATTTTGGATATAAAGATTTTGTACGGGATTCATTTTTGATAAATAAAAAGTAAAAAATAAAAATAAAAGGGTTAATGTGTACCCTTATTGTTTTTCCTTAAAAAAAATTAAATTGTGCAGTAACTGATGTATGGTGAACAAAATATCCACATTTGTTGATTGTGTTTTGAGCTATGCACAAGCAAACTCTACTGTGTACACAGTTTGTGCCCTTTGGTCAACAGTGGCTGGCTTCCTTTGCGACCCTTTGACAAGGAAAGTCACCCCATTCATAAGCAAAATGTTATTTTGGTGCTCGTCTGATTCTCCTTCATTCTCTGTAACTAAAAGTCATTGCATATGTCTGGCTTCACAAAATGTCCCCCTTTTAAATTAGCAGCCCAAGCGTTGTCTAATTCCAACCAAACAACAAGCACTATAACCTCTAAGCACCATTACTAACTACTCATTGTAGTAATTATGGTGTAAAGCCTCGGCTATAGAGTCAACTAATGTAATATTTGGTGATCTCAACGTAGAATTGTCATCCAAAGATGTACAGCTTAAGTGAAGGTTAATATAGGAACTAGCCAAACATCATAAGATGAGTCTGACTTCAAGTGCTGAGCTGTATTGGTTATTATTTTTTTTCTCCCCTAAATATATTTTGTAAATAAAGGTTTTTTTTTGTTTAATTTAAAAAAATTGTTATTTCTTTCTTTCTACATATGTTTTTTTTTTTAAATAAAGTTCCTTATGTTTGTTTTTTAAAGGGTTTTCTTTTCTTTCTACATTCAGGCATTCAGTCTGATTTATCAGTTTTATGGTTAGTTTTGTTTTTAAGTTCTGTTGGACCTATACCTTTGGTCTTGTTACTTTAACAAGAGGATTATATGTACTAAATAGCACTTTTTGAGTACTAGAGTAATTTGCAGTTGGAGTCACATTGACTGTTGGGTTTTTATCCATGAGTTTCTGCAACATACTGCTATAATTTAGAGTTTTATAATTTGGAGTTATAAGGACTTATCTAGACTACCTACAGTTGCAAGAAAAAGTATGTGAACCGTTTTGAATGATATGGATTTCTGCACAAATTGGTCAGAAAATGTGATCTGATCATCATCTAAGTCACAACAATAGACAATCACAGTCTGCTTAAACTAATAACACACAAAGAATGAAATGTTGCCATGTTTTTATTGAACACACCATGTAAACATTCACAGTGCAGGTGGAAAAAGTATGTGAACCCTTGGATTTAATAACTGGTTGAACCTCCTTTGGCAGCAATAACTTCAACCAAATGTTTCCTGTAGTTGCAGATCAGACGTGCACAACGGTCAGGAGTAATTCTTGACCATTCCTCTTTACAGAACTGTTTCAGTTCAGCAATATTCTTGGGATGTCTGGTGTGAATCGATTTCTTGAGGTCATGCCACAGCATCTCAATCTGGTCAGGACTCTGACCAGGCCACTTCAGAAGGCGTATTTTCTTCTATTTAAGCCATTCTGTTGTTGATTTACTTCTATGCTTTGGGTCATTGTCCTGTTGCAACACCCATCTTCTGTTGAGCTCCAGTTGGTAGACAGATGGCCTTAAGTTCTCCTGCAAAATGACTTGATAAACTTGGGAATTCATTTTTCCTTTGATGATACCAATCCGTCCAGGCCCTGACGCAGAAAAGCAGCCCCAAACCATGATGCCCCCACCACCATACTTCACAGTTGGGATGAGGTTTTGATGTTGGTGTGCTGTGACTTTTTTTTCCACACATAGTGTTGTGTGTTTCTTCCAAACAACTCAACTTTGGTTTCAACTGTCCACAGAATAATTTTGCTAGTACTGCTGTGGAACATCCAGGTGCTCTTGTGCAAACTGTAAACGTGCAGCAATGTTTTGTTTGGACAGCAGTGGCTTCCTCTGTGGTATCCTCCCATGAAATCCATTCTTGTTTAGTGTTTTACATATTGTAGATTCGCTAACAGGGATGTTAGCATTTGCCAGTGACTTTTGTAAGTCTTTAGCTAACACTCTAGGATTCTTCTTCACCTCATACAGCAGTCTGCGCTGTGCTCTTGCAGTCATCTTTACAGGACGGCCACTCCTAGGGAGAGTAGCAGCAGTGCTGAACTTTC